TTTAGGTAAAAGCATTAAAAAAGTTTTTACACAGATATTGATAAGATATGACTCATACGCATAATACTAAGTATGTTACATTAAACTTTTAAATTGATCACATGCCCGTACATTTGGGAGAGGGAGGTGGTCGTCGGGTGCAATCGACCCCTATTTTTTAATAAATTCTTTTTGTTTCACACAATTTATAATAAAAATTGATCAAAAGTTTAATGGCTATTCTAAATTGCCTTTTTTTTTAAAAAACGACCTCTTCCGTAAAATATTTTACGGCAAGATCCTGGATCAAATAAATAATGATATATCAGTGGAAATAGTTTCAACACATTATTTAAATAATATATATAAAAATTGAACAATTTTACAAAACATTATAACGGTCCAAGTATGATTTTTTTATAAATGGATTTGTTGAAGATTATGACATGTTAAGTTAGGAAAGTTTTTCCTAACTTAACATGTCATAACTTTGTCATTTTTAAACAAAATACAATCTGGTATCAAAAGGAAAGTCTAAAAACAGAAAGTAATATGTAAACCTATATAAAAAGTGTATTAAAAGCCCTTTAGGGGCATCTACAACACCGTTTAAAACATCTAAAAAAAATTATATATATACAGTAGCTTGCAAAAATAACTAGACGAGAGCGTAAATCGACATAACTTTTGAATAAAAAGTTTAATTTCTTTTAAATTTTTACTAGAATATTAAAAAACTGATTTAGGAGTTAAAAAAAATAATAATATTTTACTAAACATAAGAAATCAAATTAAAAAAAAAAAAGTACAAAAATTCATTTATTTAAAACTTGTAGGTGCAAAAGTATTCGGACATAACAAAAACTTTAGAGTAAACTTTTGTTTTAACATTTTTATTTATTGAAAATATTTCAAAAGTAGAGTTCTTTAAGATCTCTTCGGCAAGCCCTTAGCACCTTAGCTTCGATTACTGCCACAATCTTGATAACCACATCAATTTCAATTTTTTCCTATTCTTGTTTCAGAATTTCAAATCTTGTTTAAATGTTGGTTTTCGATATAAAATTTATTGATTGAGATGATTTCATAAATGTTCAATAAGGTTGAGGTCAGGGCTTTGCAAAGATCAGTACATTAATTGAATTAATATCACTAAGTTTAAAGTGTGCTTTGATTCATTGTCCTGCTAAAATATTGAGATATTTTGTTTTTAGCATGTCGCGAGGTTAGAATTTTTTGTTCTACCTTCACATTTTTGAGTTTTGAGATAAAACAATTAAAGAAACAAAAACTTTAGGAGACGGTATATACAAGATTTTTATTAGTTAAGTTTTTCCACAACTTTTTGTTTATAAACCAGGTTTTAATATAGTAGAACATTATTTTGAGGTACAATGCACAATTAATAGATCAAATTTTTCAAAAAGTGGAAGTAGAACAAAATAATTCTAACCTCGCAATGTGGTAGCATAAAATCCTTAACTAAATCCTAATATATAATTTTGTCTGTTTTGCAAACAATTAAGAGGAATTGTCCATTATGCAAACAGTCAAGACCTACACTATCCCTATTAAAGCAACCCGATAACGTTTTCACCTTCGTGCTTTACTGTTGGTATCTGGTTTTTAGGATCATTTATATTACCTTTTGAGCAACGAACATGTCTAATACCATCAGATCCAAATAACATAAACTTCGATTCATCACTAAAAAGTACTTTTAAAAATTGCTCTTTTGCTTAGTTTAAATGTTTATAAGCAAAATTCATGTGTGGTTTTTGATTCTTTATAAATATAAAAGATTTCTTTACAGAACATTGACCAAATAAGTTTGCAGACCTCAAATGACGCTTGCTTGTATCAAGACTCACTAGTGTAACAGTAGCTTGAGATTGGGACAGTTGACAAGTACGCTGCTAAATTTCTAATAGTTAAACTTTTATTTACAAAATATTTTACTTTTATTCTCAACAAAAATAAGTAAATGTATTTAAGTATTTAAGTATATTTTATTTAAGCCATAAAAATAGTTTATATTATGTGTATGGCCTTTGCCACAACTTTTGGCTTCTTATTTAAATATCAGTATAATTTTATGAATGAATTGCTAAAAAAAAAAAGAGAAATAACAATACTTTTGATTTTTTACAAGCCACTTTTGCTACAAATGTGGATTGGAAACGAGGAACTCAAAATCTGAGAGTAACTATGAAAATATGAATTCTTCAAGTTCAAAGGACTCGATGGTTAAAATAATACCTATAACACGGAAGTGAAATGCCCCTGCTGCGGAAGTAAATGCCCCTGCTGCGGAAGTGAACGCCCTTGTTTACAAAGGCAAAACCTAGAATTTGATTAGAATTTTAAAGTGTGAAAAATGCAGAACATGACTTGTCTAAAAAAACGAAGCTGATAGGAGCAATGATAATGTCTGAATATATTTAAACTTGAATGATCCAACAACGTGAAACTTAAGTTGCAAAAAATACCAGATTTTTTTTAGCTCAAAATGGTCCATTACATGCGGAGTTAAGGAACTATCCTGTCATAAACGGCTGCTGCTTTAATAGTTCTTGGAAATTTAGAAATAAGGGTATTGAAACTAAAGAGCGGAAATAGTTGTTTTATTTCAAAAATAAAGATGCAGTAGATTGTTTTCTTTCCCTCTTATTTGCAATTAGTGCACATAGTATTCTATTTTTTCAGTCCAATTGATAGGTGGACTGGAAACATCTAGACACATAAACTTAAAATCACGAAAAGTCAAAGTACAAAAATGAATTTATTAGAAAAAGTGCTTGAAAAGGGTGGACTAAAAAAAATAAAAATTGAACTTTTGAAAGGGTCATACATTTATTATAATATTAAAGTGTGTATTTGAATTTTAAAAATCTGTGAGTCAGTTTGATGCTGGTTTAAAATATTCCCTTAAATTGCGTATTAAAAGTCACACTAGCTATTTGACACAAACATTACAAAATAAAACTTCATCACAAAACAAAAAACCTAATGAAATGTGTCATTTAAATTTTCTAGATGTTATCGTTAGAGGGGAATTACAAAAACTGTACCTGAATATCGAACGAACTCTGAAAACGTTCAAAAACAAACAAAATTATGACGAGCTAAGAAAACCTATTTATATTTTTACGTTTTTCATGTTTTTGAAAATTACGTAAAGAGAAAAATATAGGTCCCGCTAAGTTGTTATACATTTCAAGGCTTTTTTCTTCAAATAATTTAAGACAGGGATTGTATAAACGAGTTCCCGTGAAAAGTTTGATACGGTTCCACATTAAAGGCTTATCTTGAAACCTGAACCATCTGGTGTTCGTGGCATAGCGCTTCATTGGTTTTAAGCCTTGTTATCTAACAGAAGGCAGTGAATTGTTATGGGAGATAATGTTTCAAATTGAGCTAAGGTGTACAGAGGAGTACCTCTAGGCACCGAATTGGATCCACTACTTTTTATACTTTATATAAATTCCTGAGTATTTAAAAATTATTTTAAAATTGCTTGATGATAACACAAAGATCATGTCAATAAGTTCCATGGACAAAAAATTGGTTGCTTAGTTTCAATATAGGCAAATGTTTAGTTATGCACTATAGTATACAAGTAAGAGATATTTAATTTATATAAATGATTGTTCCTTTAACTAAGTGTGGAACCTTGTGACACCTAAAGAGTTACTGGAAATGAAAAAGTGATTAAAAGAGGTGAGTATATTCAGAAATAGCAGCTGCGCAAAAAGAACAATACTATGATGTAGAATAAAGATTTTTGTAGAATAAAGATTTAAAACGGATGAGAAGAAATAAAATCTTCAATGCTTGACTCAACCCGAGAGATTGTAAAGCAGAGCAGAGTTTCTGCGGAAACAAAATTAAAAAGAAAATCGCAAAAAGAATTCCATCAGCTTTAAAGTATTTATACAAAGTGTGATGATAAAGTGAATAACAATTTACTTTATTTTTGAAATAAAGCAACTATTTCCGCTCTTCATTTTCAATATAATTGTTTCTAAATTTCCAGCAAATATTAAAACAGCGGCCGTTTATGGAAGGATGTTAACTTCAAAAAGAAACTGAGCGCAAGCTTGGGTCAGAGAAAAGATTCAAATCAAGAAATGAAGATTAGTGATTATTTTTGTTTAAAAAAGCAGTCACAAAATTAAATATCCAAGTAAGAGATTAAGAAATAGAAAAGTTTTGCATTTGTGATCCAGTAGAGTTATTGGTAAAGACTAGAGCCATTGTGGCCTATTCAGTTATAAGACCCATTCAGTTTAATTTAGGTAAAGACTAGAGCTAACCCATTCAGTTTAATTTAGGTAAAGACTAGAGCTAACTCATTCAGTTTAATTTAGGTAAAGACTAGAGCTAACCCATTCAGTTTAGTTAGTAATAAATTCATCAATAATAACATTTTTGCCTGAGGGATGATGTGAATGGGTTTTGTCATTTTGATTAGAAAAATGTGATTATTTAATTTAATCTTTTATAATTAATGCTATTAAATTTATTATTTTTATTATATACCAATTTTTAATGAAATGATAAAAAAATATTTGTCTTATTGTTGTTAAATTACATTAAAAGTTCTGGATATGTTTTACTTTTCTTTTTTTTTTTAATTTTGAAAGTGATAAAACTGATAATTGTTTGAACTAGATTTAAGCTACAAAATAAATTTTAGTATATAATTACAACAAAAAAAATTTCAAGTTGTTTTGTGTTTAATTAAGTATGTTTTTAAAACAGTGTGCAAAGGTTTTACTTCAAAATTCGAAATACAAATTAAAGATTTCTCAAGCTTTTTATTTTGATGCTAAATTTCTTTCAGTACTTTAGTTAATTGTTTGTTTTATTTAACTATAAAATCGTAAATTTGTGTAAAATTAGTGAAGTATTTGTTATATATATTTGTAATGGTCTTTAATAACTCCTAATCATTAAATAATCAAAAGTCATTAAAACTGTTCAACACAATTTTCTAGCAAAATGCTTTTTTTTTTTAGGTACTTATAAGCATAAGTTGTCTAATGACTTTATTAAAGTTGAAATTTATTTTGAAAAGTTCCATCATGTTGAATTTCATGCTCATATCAGCACTCGTTCACAAGAACTACTCAGAAAAGTCTCAATGAAAAGAAAAGGTCAGTGAAAGTTAATTATAAGTAAAAAAATACTTGTAACTACTTTTATATTGTTATTATTATTTTATTGCAACCGTAAAATATATACTCTATATACATTAAGGTGGGTCATACTTTAAAATTATGGATATGAGAGCGTGGGCACTACTTTTTTTTATGTCTTAGGATATTAAAAGGGACATAAATAATTTTTTTTTTCTTAAAAAGTTCATCTAGTGTGGGCGCAGAACGTTTGAAAAATGTCAGTTTTACGAAAAACTCATCATATTGGCATTTTTCGGCCTTTTTTATATAAGCCAAAGGTGAGACAATTATAAATATAGACATAAAAATAAAATATAATATTCGGTGCTACTTTTCTTAATGCTATACAAACACAGTAGACGTAAGAAAGTTGTCTACCATTATGGAATTTACAAAAAAATATAAATGTTTGAAATGGGATTGCGCACAATATTTTTTTTTTATGTATTAGGATATTAGAAAAGACATGAATATTTTTTTTTTCTCAAAAAGTTCATCTATTGTGGGCGCAGGGCGTTAAAAAAATGTCAGTTTTACGAAAAACTCTAAAAAACATTAGTATAACAAACTGATTATTGTTATTTTTAATGTGCATAATGCTACTAGAATAAAATGAGGTGAATCATAAAACATAGTCATCAAAGTTTGTGGGCTTATATCCCCCTTTCCATTATTATTAAAAACCATAAAAATTGGTCAATAACAGGAAATGGTGTATAATTTTTTATTTGTTAAAGTTCCAATAGCTTATTTGTAGGATAATTACTAAGATAATAGTTTCCTGACAATTTGCGTTTTAAACGTGTTTTATTTATTCATGATCACTTTGGCATCCTAAATATTGTAATAAAAATGATGTAATCAACAAATTTATTACGAGTATATAAAAGTAGCCTTTACCTACTACAAAAAGCTAACAATATTTCTAAACAAACATAACATCAATTTAATTGCGATAAATGGCTAAATCTATTCGTGCTCAAACAATATTAAAATGCCCTAAATTGCACGAGCTATTGGGTAATAGACTCGAACTTTGTTTATCAGAGCTTTATCAATCTCCGCTAAGAGATTGTTTATGATATGGAACATTGCAAAAGAAATTGGAAAATTGAGAACTACGAAAAAAAGAAATATGTATACGGACAAACTTGATAAGTTATTTGGCTTGACAAAACGTAAGAGCAAAATCTTTTACTGAAATGAAAATGGATGCAATGGTTGTCTTTTTAAAACTCATGTAACTTGCATATGTCCAAAAGTAACAAAGATTCCTTTGCAAGGACTATTTTTCCTACAAGTTCAAAGAAATAAAATTAGTAACAAAAGTTCTTTATTAATAGGATTAGTTGATATATCAGAGACACATCGGTTAACAAGATATTTTGGTAGAAAAGAATCAGACTCTAAAATACCTGGAGCAAATAGTGAGGATATAGGTAAATGCTAAAATATTAAAAATATTTTTGCCAATTTTTGTTTAAACTGTGAATTAAAAAATTGAGTGTATATTGAGTAAAAATTATTTTCATTAAAATTATTTAACATAATTTATTTTCTCCTTTAGCAGTAGAATTTCAAACAACAGACAATTCAGACATTGGCAACGAAAAAGCAAATAATAAAGAAAAAGCTGACTTCAGTTTGAAAAAAAATTACTTAGATATTACCAGAGTTTTTCAAGTAGCTATTATTATCATCTTATGATTCAGCTTGACGGAAAAACTGAACATAAAAATAACTTTTCTGGTTCTATTGGAAAACTTAAAGGTAAGGCAACTAGCTTTAAAATCAAAGATAGCATAATAAAAATTGAAGTTCCTAATGCAATAATAGAACTTGACTCTGAAATTCTAAAATTGCTATCAGATGGTCAAAAGTATCTTTATCAAATTACCTATACAATTAACGCTGGGGTTTTTCCGGAAAATCTTAAAGGTAAAGAAATTGGGCTACATTCGCATGCAAGATGATTAAATTTCGCAAATAGAATATGTTTACTTTGGTGCTCCAAAATTGTACTTTCAATTGAAAAAACATATAATCTTCAAATTCTGGTGGAGTTTATTGTTGGAGTTTATCCTCCAGTTTGGTTTGAAATCAAAGTAAAGTGGAAGTGGACTGAAGGGCCTTACTATATACTCAAGCAATTAAAACTTCTTTGTCATCAAAAACTTAAAGTTAAAGACATTGTAATGCCCTATGTTTAATCTTCTTAATAGAATGCTCATATTGAAAATGTTTTTTAAGCATTGTTATGTAGTCTAGAAAAAAACAGAAAGACAATTTGCAGTTGAAACAATTTTAAAATCAAGAGGAGATTTAAAATACGGAAACACTAATGTAAGAAGTAGAAAACATCATATACATAATGAAAATGCTGAATCAATACTTTTTATCTAATTAATTGGAGTTTGGATTTACACAAATCTTTACTTACATGTTTATGTTCAAAGGATCAACTTTTAAAATACAATGCTAACCCGATGTATGTACCTTGTTTTCCAGTTCATGGGCAAGCTATTGAACGATGTATCCTAGAAGTCACAAGAGCTTCTCAATCGGTATCTGGAAAAGATAGAGATGGGTTAATTTTTGGTTTTAGAAGACCTCAAAGTCTTGTCACAGAGCACAAAATAAGCTCAAAACATACCCAGAGCTTGTTTCGAACCCTAGATTTCTTGCTTCTAAAGAAAGCGCCTAACCACTGCATCACAGCTGTTTATTTTTTTTTTTAATTCTGATTTACTACCAACAAGGCTGAAAGCGACCACTATTAAGTTGGCAAAAAAAAGACTTATAGAGTGAGGAAACAGTTGACAGAAATCTTAAAAAGTTCTAGGTTGTATGAGTTAGGAAAGTATGAGGGTGGGAGAGAGTTCCAAAGCGTTGAAGTGTGGGAACGAAACTAGACAAATAAAAGATTTTAGAGCATACATGGACAGATACAGTAAAATTATGCGACTTTTTTGAATAACAATTCAAGCAAGAATGAGTTTTATTTAATGGAACTAGAGATGCTAGCTCCTTTGAGCGGCAATCATGATAGTATTTGTAGAAAAGAGAAAGAGATGCAAATTTATGACAATTAGAGACAGGCTCCAGCTTGGCAGGTAGAGTGGGTTTAACTACGTTTAAAATGCGTTTTTGGATTTTGAATAGAAGAGAAAGAGCATCATTATAAGAACCAGCCCAGTTAAGATAATAGTATTCCATACAGGGGAAAATAAGAGATTTGTAAAGATAGAGAATGAAATCAGGTGTAAGAAAAGGGCAAGCACGATAATGACAAGCAATTTAGCAGATGTCAATTTAGCAATCGATTATATATATGATTTCCATGAAAGGTCGGTAGTGAACGATAATCCAAGAAGTCGTAAAGAAGAGGACTCAGTGGGAGGGTTGACATTCATTAACATAGAAATGTTGACAATATTGCAGTAGTTGTTTGCAGTAAATAGCTGAGTTTTGTTGGAGTTTAAATGCACAAGCCACTGCAAGCCCCAATCTGTTGCAGAAGCGAGATCAGATTTAAGATTGGCTGTCTGTTTTAAGCAATCAAAAAGAGAAGACATTTTGTCAAGACATGAATATAAAGTTGTGTTTTCATCAAAAAGAGCTGCTTTAGATGTAAGGTTGTCAGAAAGATTATCAATGTAGATAAGAAATAAAATAGGACCAAAGATAGAGTACCTTGAGGTGCCCCAGAGGTGCTGGAAATGAAGCAGAGTGTTAGCTTGAGGATGACTTCAATAAAGTGATTAGAAAGAAACGATTTGATAATCTTGAAAACTTTCCCAGATATACCATATGACGCAAGCTTATAGAGAAGGGCAATATGTCACACTTTGTCAAAAGCTTTAGATATTTCAAGAGCAATAGCCCTAACCTCTCTGCTTCCAACTATTTCATGATAAAATCTTTCAGTTGCAGTAGTTACCCAACAAACATATGGTCTAAAAAAGACATTTTTAATACGTATTTTTTAGGCCAAATGTTTGCTGGGAAACAAATGAGCCGTAGAGTGAGAGGATCAAAAACCCTATTGATTGTCTGACAGTAAGCTATTTGATTCAAGATGGGATCTGAGAAAATTGTTTACCAATGGCTCAAAGACTTTGCTAAAAACAGAAAAAAGACTGATTAGACAATAATTTGAGGGGTCAGAATATTCTATGGAGATTTTGAAAATTAGAAAACAGATGCCATTTTTCAGCAGACAAGAAAACAATATACAGTCAAGCACTTATTAAATAATTTATAAAAAATTGAAGAGAGTTTTGGAGAACAATTTTGTATTACCATGACAAGATGGTTGTTAGGACCACATGCCGTAGATGAGTTTAATCGAGATATGACTTTAGCAATGTAAGTTGGAGTGATTTGAATGTCAATTCAATTCCATTCTATTTAAACAGTTAACCTGTTTAAATAGAATGGAAGGAAGATTCAAGATTTGAATTAGAAGAAAAGGTCTTTTTAAAGAGTTCTGTCTTATCCTTGCGAGAGGTAATAAGATCAGTCCCATGAATGAGAGATGAAATATTAGACCTAACTTTGTTAATGTGTTAATTTTGTGGAGATTAACTTTTGAGATAAGATACATTACTTAGTGAACAGAGAATAACGGAGATTAGCATTTGACAGCACCTTTTTACATCAGTTTCTTGCGATAATAAATAGCCGTTTGTTCTCAAGAGTTATTTTTTTGAAAAAGATGGAAAAATGATTACGATTAGATATAACAGCTGCACAAAAAAGTGAAAACCATGGAATAGAATAAGACTATAAGGCTTGACTTGGAACCGACGAGAAGGGAAAAAAGCTTTCATTCCTGCCTGAATCCAGGTGGTTATTAGCTTTTATTACCTGAGAAATAAAAGACATCAGCCCATGAACCATAAAAGTAGTAGTAAGTAGTGCAATGATAGGGTGAGTCCGAAGAAAAAGTACGAGTTTGAAGATCATTGCATGGTCAATACTACCTAAGGGAGAAAAAGGAGAAATTGAGCATAAGCTAGGGTCGGAAACAAGACATAAACCAAGGAGTGAAAGTAAAACGTTAGGGTTGTCTGGAAAATGAGTCACAAAGTCAACTATCTGAGTAAAAGATTGAAAAATCTTAGAGCGGAAATTATAAGAATATAATAGGTTTTAGTGCCAGCAGGGTCAGTGGCGTTAAAACTACGCCGTTTAGTGTGATAAGCACTAAATTCACCAGTAACAACAATATTGGCAAAAGCGTAAATAGAAAGGGCATGGTCAATGCGATGAAAAATGCGATCAAATTTTGAAAGTAGGTTGAAAATAAAAATAAAATTTAATTTATACTCATTATAAAACTTGATTAGTTGTATAGTTGTATGATTAGTGCACTAAAATTAAACTAATAGATAAGAAGTTGTGGCAGAGTCATAAACGAGTATGAAAAAGATGGTGAATTTTTTAATGTGAATGTGTTTTTAATGTATTTTTTTTAAACTTCAATGTCAAATTATAGCACTTTTTATTGATTTTCAGACCTATGTTTTTATACGATTCTTAATCAGCATAAAATTCTCTGTCATAATCAACAATAAAAATAAATAAAGGAGGAGGGGGGGGGGGGGGAAAGTAGTAAGTCCTAGTTTGCTTAAGTTGGAAAGAAGAGTAATGGGTTGATAGTAAGGCAAGTCTAGTGAAAAACATTTTTTATAAATTTGAATGACTTCTTGCTACTTCAGAGAACATGCCACTTTTAAAAAACTATTTATCATAGTGCAATAGTGGTTATCTATTACATATTCAAAACAAAAGTTGCAGCATTTTTCAGTTTCCACCACCTGCTCACCATCAGCAATCAGAATAGCAGAATACTTGATAGCCTGATTTATAATACGATATTACTTCTAGTTATGGATGGCCTAGAAAGTGTTTTCTTTTAATATTAAAATAACACGGGGTTTAAAGTATTTTATATTAGAAATATTATTAAGAGCACCTAAATAAACTATTTAGGACCATTTAACATATAACGAGCCTCTGATATTATCAAATAAAAAAAGTGTTTCTAAAGTGTATCATGTTGTATCTCAAATGACTTCTATTTGTCCATAAGTATCATAGGAAATATTTGTTTCGGCCAGGTTTAGTAAGTTTTTATTACTCTAAAGATTGTCAAAATCGGATGGATATTAATTATGTTGATTATGTTAAATTAGTTAATTATGTTGATAAGGAATCAAACTAAAAATGGCTTCAAGTTAAAACTAAAAAAAGTCTTCTTTTAATGATTAAGTGTTTCGTATAAAATTTGGTTTTTATTTAAAGATAATTAAAAATTTTATTTAAAGATGAATAAACTTTATTTTAGAAAAAAATCAAGTTAGTTTTTTCTTTATAAAAAAGGTTTTGAAACGTTTTTGTTTGTTTGTTTGTTTTGTTTGTTTTTTTATTGTTTTTCCGTTCTTTATTACAATGGTTAAGATACAAATACAAATATATAAGAGAAAAATTACAAGTAAAGATATCGTAAAAATGAATAGATATCGTAAAAATAAATAAAGAACGCGGATACTCAAAGAAGACCATCAGGTCTTGCCACAAAGAACCGCTGATAAAGAACTTGAAACTTAAAATTTATACAAAGTAGTAAAGTCGTTATACAAATAAATTAAATCGTTAAGAAAAAAATTTTTCAACTAGAAAACTTTTTCAACTAGAAAATATAAATAAAAAATATATATATAATGTTTGATTTAATAAATAAAACGAAAGCGGACCCTTCAGAAGACCATCAGGTCTTCATTGAGAACTGCTCGTAAGTTTAAAAATCTCATGGTCAAGTAAATAAAGCACAAGAAAAATTAAGGCGCATTTATATACATATTCAGTTGTATCACAGCATAAAAAATAAAAAAGTAAATTATTCAATGTTTAAAAATACAAAAAATATATCATCAATAGAGAAAACGATTTCCTTAAGCTTTTTTTTTTGAATGAGACGTAACTCCATTTCAAAGAAAAAGCAAAATGTTTAAAAATTATTTTATTCCAAAGAGAAGTTCCACAAAATGAAATGGTTGATTTTTCAAAATTAGTTTGAAAAAATGGTTGACAAATTAAATTATCATTTCTAAAGTTGTATTTATTTTTATCTTTTAAGATATATAAATTATGGAAAGAAACTGGGTTGGAGTTAATTTTACATTTGTATATAAAACAAAGATTATTAAAAACATTAACCTGATATATATCAAGAATTTTTATTTCAAATAAGAGAGGCTTGGCATGAGTAAATCTATCTTTAAAATTAATAAGACGAGCAACATACTTTCGTTGACGATAAAGAGACCTAAGTTTGAATTTATTAGCACAACACCAAGGCAATATTTGCATGGTATAAAAGACAATGGATAAATGAGTAATATAATTGAATAAACTACGTTTATTTAAAACACTTCTAGCTTTAAATAATATTCTTATACTTTTAGCAACTTTATTACACAAGAATTCTATGTGATGTTTCCAATTAAGGTTTTCATAGATATAGATACCCAAAAAGTTTGTATTAATTACTCTTTTTATTAGAATTTTGTCAATAAAAAGTATTGGTAAATCGCAAGACATGGATAAAAAAGTATCCAATTAGTTTTTCATTATTTATTGAAAGCTTCTTTATTTTAAACCATTCAAAAATTTTTGTTAATTCGATGTTTATATTTTAAAATAATGTTGTAATGTTGTTATAAGATAAAAAGACGTTAATGTCATCTGCAAACATGATAGCAATCAAGTTCGATACTTTATGTAAAACATTAATGTAAATTAGAAAAAGAAGGGGCTCAAGTATAGATCCCTGGGGAACACCATAGGTTATATTTAATAAATTGGAGTCAGTTAAATTGCAATAAACATACTGTTTACGGTTGCTTAAATAGCATTTAAGTAACAGTAAAATATTTCCTTTAACTCCATAATATTAATAGTTTTTTTAGGAGAATTTTATGATCAATTGTATAAAAATCTTTTAATAAATCTATGAAAACTTCCAACATGAATTAAAAATTTTCAATAGATTCAGAAATATTGCGCATAATTTGGATTATTGCATGTTCTGTTGAGTTATTTTTTTTTAAATCCCTATTGATTAACATATAGTATATTATTTGAAGAAAGGTGATTATAAATTATGTTATATAAAATTCTCTCTAAAACTTTAGACAAAACAGACAAAACAGATATTGGGCGATAATTAGAAACACTGGTTTTATCACCAGCTATGAAAATTGGTGTCGCTTTAGCTATTTTAAAAAAATCAGGAAAAACGCCCTGTTTTATTGAACAATGTAAAACTTAAAACAGTATATCTTTTAGGGGTTCATAAGACTCGATGACAACATTACCATTTGTATGACCAGCTAATTTATTACACTTGAGCATTTTAAAAGATTGCTCAAAATCTTCATAAGATAATTCATGATATATTTGATCAATTTTATAATATGTTTGATCACTTATGGATCACTTTTACATTTTTTTTTAAGTTTAAAAATACTTCATGAAGTTATTTAAAAAGACATGAAAAAGTTTGTAATTATATTAGTAATGGCTTAGAAAACGTTTGTTACCCGTTAATTACAAAATTCACTTTTACCGTAAATTTTTGGAAAAACATTTATTTTTACCCTTTAATTTATGCAACTTAGTATAAAATTTATAATAATACAATTGGTATTGTGTACTTAAATAAAAAATTTGGTGTAAATTTTACAACATTTTAAATCACGATTATTTTCAAGTTTATTTTATTAAATGCTGTATATCTATTTGAGCATAAGTATTCACAAAATGACTACTTGGGTGTATTGGTGTATTCATAAAAAGAAGATTTCAACTAAATAGTTAAAAAAGCTATAAATCCTTTTTTTATCTTTTATGCTATGAAGTATTATATGAAGAATTATATGATTATATGAAGAAATTTTTTATATATATATAATTATAAATTTAATTAATTATAAATTTAATTAATTATAAATTTTTTATATTATATAAGATTATATAAAGAAACACAATATTGAACCAAATTTTTCGAAGAGTATAATAAAATGTATGATTTCAGGGAATTAAAAAAGATTTTCCATTTTTTATTTACACAATTTGAAAACTTTAAAATGTAAATATGGCTACAAAGTTGACTCGTTAAATCATCATATAATTTAACGTTTCAAAAAATCAAAATGGTTTTGTTCAAATCTATAAAAATAAAAATTGTCATTTTAATGTTTGAAATCTTTTTTCATGTTTTTAGATGTACATGGTTTAGGATTGGATGTTGTTTTTCTAATGATAGATTCTCAATCAAATGCTAATTTTCATCGTCATCTTAAAAAGACTATGCCAAAGCTTTTGAATGATGAAAATACTATTTTACTAAATGGGCACACTGTAGTTGGTGATGGTACAACAGCACAGCTTTTGGCAATTCTTGTAGGTATTGATTTTCAGTATTGTAGATTATCTTAATACATGTATATATGTATGTATAAATATATGTATGTATGTATGTATGTATGTATGTATGTATGTATGTATGTATGTATGTATGTATGTATGTATGTATGTATGTATGTATGTATGTATGTATGTATGTATGATGTATGCATGTGTACGTTAGTCTGAAAATAAAAAAAGATTCATATTTCTAAAGAGTTTTTAGCTTTGTAAATTTGGGTGGATCATCGGACCGTTTTCCTCAAATAATATGTCTACTAACCAACTCAGCTATTTGAAACAAAAAATTTTGTACAAAACTCATTTAGTTTTTTAGCAAAAACATTAATGTGTTCTAGAAAACCTTGAAATACCAATTAGTATTATATACAGCAAAAATGAAAGGAGTTTAACTAAATATGCAATAAGGTGTCCTAAATAACAATATTTTAATAGACTACCTAAAATTGTTCTGTATTTTAGAATAAAACTGGACTTAAAAAGTTTTTAAATAAAAATGTTTTTAGGGATTCCCGATAACCCTTAACATTTAATGAGTCCTAAATAGTATAAAAAAAAGTTATTCATAAGTATATCACTAATGAAGTCTTAAATGGAGCGAAATTATAAGAAATTTTCAAAAATGATTATTTTATTATAAAAAACTTATATAAAAAAATTTTTTTTTTAGATTATAAAAATGCACTTTGTACTATTTTAAATATTAAATGTTATAATTTGTTCATTATATTCATTTTTGATGAAAAAAATTTCATAATACACTTTAAAAATTTTTTTTTTTTTTAATATTGCAGACTTGTTAAACATTTAAATTCCTAAAAATATTTTTATGGATTCTAATTATTATTTTTAAAATTTTTTATATTAAAAATTTTTAAATCGAGTGTTATTTTAATATATAACACATTAGAACACATTAAGGTATTTTAGGGTTGTACACAATGCAAATTTTTTTTTTCAAAACACTGGGAATGAAGTTTTTCCTATTCTACTATTAGGGTACTATGTAAGATGAGCAGTCGTGCGCAGTGGTAGCGCTATGTAAATTGAGAAGCCGTGGCGCAGTGGTACTTGCCTCAGATACGTAAGTGGCACTCAGATACGCAGTGGCACTTGCCTCAGATACGTAAGATCCGTGGTTCAAACCCCACCTCTGGGCAAGTTTTGCGACATCGGTTGGGAAGGAGGCATGAAATTCTTATTCAATGCTCTTCCGCGGTGCTTTGTTCGGCTTAAATTCGTGTTTTTAATAGTAGCGAAATTGCATGCATTTGTTACAAATTTGGTTAATAACTTAATACAACTTTTAGATATTGAAACGATTTGTTATTTTATAGCTGTTATGATAATTCACAGCAATATAATGCTTTTTAATTACAGTGAAATAAATTTAAAATAATAACGCTGACGAGAAGCGGCAAAGTTTTAAAAGCAGAGTGCAAGTCGATATCTTTGCCAACCAGTTTAAGTCAGTCTTCAGATACTTCCAACTTTACTTCGCCTACCTACTACTCGTGCATCTACGAATTTTTGGCTAATTGGACACCCATCACCATCAATTACTGCTTCCAAGTTGCCTGATTGCCGACAAATTTTGGATTTTTTTCTATTTAGATCAAAAAAGAGACAGAAAGGCAACCATGGATGGTCATGATAAAATGTAAAACTTAACCCTGCTCAATTTGTTGCCCTTCACTGGGATGGAAAACTGTTGAAAAACATAGTAGGTGAGCAACATGAACAATTAGCTGTGCTCATGTCTGGAGCTCCAGAATATAGTGAGGGAAAATTGCTGGGAGTTCCTGCTCTTTCAGACTTAAAAGGCAATGTTGTAGCATTAGTAGGGAAGAGTGTGTATGAAAGAGCCAGTTTTAAAAAGGTATGAAAAAAAGTCAGTTTTGATTAATTAAAATTTTTTTTTTATTTAAACAGTTACTTTATTGGGTAATAATATAAAAACAAAATAAATCGGATAACAATGCTAAAAATCTGTTATACACCTATTTTAAAATAAGAGAGAAATCAACTCTTTCATAACATCTTGTCAATGAAAGAGCCGCTCTGTGCTATGAATGAGCCGTAACGTTTTTTCTCTAAAACTAACAAGTCTTTTAAGAGTAATAATTTGTTAACTCGACTTCTAAAAATCAGATTGTATGTTATATAATCATAATCACGTTATAAAATCAGATTGTAAATTTTATAATTCTATGATAATCAATGATAAAACAGCTTTAATAATACTTTCACTTTAATATTAAAAAAAATATCCTCGTATTACGTTGCTTTTTGTAGTTAATACTTGTGAAGACTTGTTTTTTTTAAAGATAAAAAATATTAAATGAGAATAAGAAAAACAAAAGTGTTAATATACACTAGTCAAATGTTTACAAAAAAATAAATATACACTAGTCAAAATAACAAATTGTTTTGACTACATCTTGATGATAAATGTTATCTAGGAATCATAGTGATTATAAGGCATTTCACATAATTAACGATGCTTGTAATATAATATATCACATTATTAGATAAATATCACAACATTAGATAAAGAATTGCTCATTGAAACTTTAGAAAATAAAGGTACCTGGTTGAAAACCATCAAAGAATCGACCATAAAGCATTTGATACATCTACTTGAAAACGAAAATGCTGCAACATTTCCAAGAGACGACTGTCGTGAATGTGCCGAAAACACACTCATCATATTTGGGCAAACTCCGCCACGTAGTGTACGTTTTCTGGAACCAGGAGCCATCCATCAAGCACGGATGGATTGTAACATCTATGCTGGCAAAATTTTTATGTTTTCACAACAAATGGCATATGACGAGGAGATGAAGATCAAACTTTTTAAAATTAATCGATTTCTTTCACTTTTCACACACCAGCTTGGACAAAAGCTAGCATTTTCAATGATCTGCAGCTTATACATGGCATAATTAATTTCAAAGAAGCAGACAGAGAGTTTGCTATAGTTATTCTTCAAAAAAAAAAATAATCACCAATGGTATTTGACAGAACAGGTAGTTCTATTTGCTTTTTTCAGTAAACATATTTCATCCTCTGTGAAACTGGAGATGGCTGCAAAATTTTTGGAAATTCCGCTGACGGAGAGTTTTGGTCTTAGAAAACCGGTTTTTCGTAAAACCACTTATCAAACAGGTTTGGCTAATCTTCTGGAACCTGAATCCCACACATCGGTCAGTATTCTTGGTATCAACACAGACTTGCTTACTAAACTAATTTACCAGTGAATAGAGCATTCAGGTTATCAAGAAACTGAGAAATTTGTTTGTACAGTGATGGTTGTTAACGATACTGCAGAGAGATTAGTGAAACTGATTCAAAATTTGCGACCATAAATACCAGTGATCCACAAGTAATGACACACATGTGACTCATTGTCATTTTTTCGTTGCTTTTTAACTGAAAATTGCCATAGTTTTAAAACAAAGTATGGGGCTTGTCTTAGGAAACGTTAAGGGGGCTTAAGAATAGTTATTAAAATTTGGTAAAAAATATTCTCTAATAGTAGAATGGAAAAAACTTTAATCCCGATGTTTTAAAAAAAAATGTGCAACGTGGATAACCCTAATATATATATATATATATATATATATATATATATATATATATATATATATATATATATATATATATATATATATATATATATATATATATATATATATATATATATATATATATATATATATATATATATATATATATATATATATATATATATATATATATATATATATATATATTTATACATATATATGTATATATATATATATATATATATATATATATATATATACATATATATATATATACATATATATATATATATACATATATATATATATATATATATATATATATATATATATATATAGTCTTGCATGTCTCTTGCGTAGCATCAAAAAATATTTCCCATAAACTGTAGTTTTAAAGAGCGCATTAATAAACCAGACCAGAAAAAGTTTTAAAAATTAAATTTTTTTTTTTAATTGATAGACTGCCTGGCCAAACCAAACCCTCAGTCGATGTAGCAGCACTCTCTTGCGAGTCAGGCTATTTGTCAGTCGTTGTAGCAGCACTCCCTTGCGAGTCAGGCTATTTGTCAGTCGATGTAGCAGCATTCCCTTGCGAGTCAGGCTATTTGTCAGTCGATGTAGCAGCACTCCGTTGCGAGTCAGGCTATTTGTCAGTCGATGTAGCAGCACTCTGTTGCGAGTCAGGCTATTTGTCAGTCGATGTAGCAGCACTCCGTTGCGAGTCAGGCTATAAGATAGTCGATGTAGCAACATTTACGCATGTTTAAAAAATGTTTTTTATTAAATCAATAACAAAAACACCACTAATTAAAAAAAACTTTCTAGTCGTTATAATTGCGGTTTTTTAAAAAATTTTTAAAAAACAATTAAATTTAATGTACTTCCGCATAAATTAATTGCTTTGACATTTCGATGACAATCAAAAACAGCTTAAGAGACGAGGTAATTAAAATTGTAGTCGTAAGAGACTTTTTTTACATTAAAATGCTCTTAAAGCGACACTATATGAGTATATGTATATATATATATATATATATATATATATATATATATATATATATATATATATATATATATATATATATATATATATATATATATATATATATATATATATATATATATATATATATATATATATATATATATATTTATATTTATATATTCTCGATGATAAGTCTTCATAGTACTCGATTATAAGTCTTCATAGACTTCTACGAGTTTTCCTTTACAACAACAAGTTTATATCTGAAGTACCAAAAAATTTCTTTTCTTATTTTTATTCATTTTTTTTTTTTTTTAAATACTGGTAACTTTTATGATAAGAAACACTATTAATTTACGCTATACTTAGTTATACTTGTTAAAGCAATTTTTATTATGCTATGTTATACGTTGTATTATTATCTTG